AAAGCTTTAATTTTTTCCTTCAAAGATAACATGTCCTCCTTAAACTTTTCTTGTATATCATGTAGAGTCCCATCTTGGAGGTACATTTTGTCTGTTACCTTATCAAAACTTTGTGATAAAGTCTGAACATCAAATTCAACAGCCTGAACCCTTTCAGGTAACTTTCTAATACCCTTGGATATGGAATCAATTTTGTCTGTCATAGTATCCACTTGTTCAGATAACCTCTGATTTTCAATAATTTTAATCCTGTCAATTAGTTGTTCATTATTAGTTCGTAAAGATTCTATCATTCTTAGGAGTGCCATATTCTTCTGTTCATTATTAGTTTGTAAAGATTCTATCGTTTTTAGGAGTGCCATATTCTTCTGTTCATTATTAGTACGTAAAGATTCAATCGTTCTTAGGAGTGCCATATTCTTCCTTAATGATAGAATATGGAAAAGAAAACTGAAGGCTAGTAACAAGCAAATTAAGGTATCCCCATAATCATATAAACCTTGTATGATGTAATTCATTGTATTAGTAAATATAAATTTACTAATCCATTGTATTAGTGAAAACAAAGCAGTAAAATTTGCGTTAGAAACAAAAACTGCAATATTACCTATTATACAGCAGGTGGCGCTGTTGCAGAGTCGCGGTGAAAACATGGTCCTGTTTCAGTGCCTTAGTAGATGTTAAAAACTGGAAAATGCAGTTTCTCAACAAAATAAATGTAATTAAATCAATTCCTGAGACGGAACAAGTCACCCTGAGGGGTTGCAGCTTTCAGCAACCACGTGCTCTGGTTCGTGCCACTTAAGAGCTGTACTTGCAAGGGAGATTTAAAAATGACTCAGAAAAGAGCAAACCAGGCAGCCAGAGACTACGCGGGCCTGTGGAGTTTAAATCCACGTGTGGAGTCCAGCGGGCCTGTGGAGTTTAAATCCACATGGGGAGTCCAAGGCCGCTGGAGGCTGAGGAAGGGAGGGCTCCTGCCAAGCCGAACTAGAGCCCGCCAAGCCCGCAGCCGCCAAGCCGAACTTGGGGCCGCCAAGCCGAACTCGCGGCTGCAAGTGGGGAAAGGAGAGGTTCTAAAACCAAACGTTGGGTGCCAAAATGAAGGCGTAAGTCACAAACAATGCCACACCAATTCGGGGTTATGATTATTAGGGTGGTATTTATTTAAAGGGGAAAAAACTTACAGATCACTGTCCCAGGCAACAGCCCTCTACGCAACCAGGAAAGGAGTCTAGTCGCAGGCGGAGCAGGAAGTGAAGAGAGAGAGGAGAGGGAAGTGGCCGCTTTTTTAAAGGGAAAGAGACCACGCCCCAATGGGCTGGTATCTCAGTGGTGATAGGCTGGAGGAGTGGGAGGACCTCCTGCAACGCCCTAGACTCCAGGTCTACTCTTTAGAAATGAAGAGAAGCAGGATAGATCCATTACCTCCCCAAAGCTCCAAGATCCAGTGTCCCACCATGTAAAACCAAGTTGAAGCCTTCCATCATCAAGTAGTTCCCTACTCCCTATTCAGGACTCACTGCATTTTGCCCAGAACCATTTATTTCTTGATGTTTGACGCTGAGATTGAAGGCCAGCTTCCTTCTGCCTCCCTCTAGTCTCGTGATGCTCTCCTTTCTGTCTCTCAAGAAGCCTGCTCAGTCTTGCCAACATGGCTATGTCCAAAACCTGTAAGCAATGAACAGATGCTCCAGCGGCAGATGGTGTTGCCACAACACTTCTGACATCACATAGAATGCCAGGGCTCTCCAGGATACAATAGAATGCCCAGGGAGGGGTCTGCTGCTTCCCACAGTACAGCCCTTTCCTCTCTGGCTAATTTCTTCACTCCAAATATGACCTGAAACCAAGGTGCCATATCAGAAAGGATGCTCATCCTCCTTTCAAAGCCAGAGATCTAGCTCCCCACTTTATTATAACATTATCTGTGTGGAGTTGAAGGCCCACTTTGAAAGTACTGTGCAGGAATGTTTCTTCCCTTCCTTAAGATCCATACTGAGTAAGATGAGAAATTAATGATCCTGAGAAATTAGGTCATGATGATGGGGATTGGGAGGGATGAGTCCTCTGAAGTGAAGAGCATCTGGAGAAGATCCTCAGACTTTTAGAGACTGGTTGGTTCCAAACAACAGGAAGTCATACAGGTAGTGATCAAAATTTCCCCTGGTAAATCAGCAGAGCTCACTGAAGCTATGATATTGTGAGTGATAATGAGATTCAATTTGACAGTTTTGGCTGGAGCCACATGAGCCCAGATGAGTCCTCAGATATATAGAAAAAAATCATGCCTGAGAAGAATATAATGGTCCCAACCTTGAATCAATAAATGGAAGAAAGAGCAGTGGCAAGTCAGAGATCAGTCTGGGCCAAGTAGAGGCACCATAAGTTGGAAAAACACATGCACACACATACAGATAATGAGGCACGTAGCCATGGGATAGAACATGATGTAGATCATGCTATGCTGTGTCAATCAGCAAACCAAGGCTGACAGCTGAAGACATCTATCCATCGAAATGGAAATATTTACAAAGAAGTTACTCTTGTCACACAAATTAACAACAGTAGTATCATCTTAAAGGAACATATGCCTCATCCAGCCATGGTCTTTTGACCATGGACACAGGACCAGGTACTGATTCCTACCTAGAGTGCAGTCCTCACCAGATCAGTAGGAAGTGAAATATACAATAACTCTCACGTCACCGTCGCACCAGTGACTTTCTCATATTCTGTATGCCCCATGTAAATGACATTTTCTTACGCTGAAATAAAAAGTTTTAATTTCATAAGCTCCTATTAGTTGATTTTTGGTCTCATGGACTATTGGACAAGAGTCCTATTCAGAAACCCCTTAAGTGTGCTTAAAAGTTGGAGGATTATCTTTACTGTGTCCTTTGGAATTTGTAGGGTATCAGATCTCATTTTGATATCTATGACACTTTTGGTGCAGTTTTTGTATGGTAGATGATATAGAGCAGAGTTTTATTGTCTGCATGCTGACAAAAATTTTTCAGAATCAGCATATTTAGGACAGTATCTCAAATGCCAACATACATATGAAATACAATATGTGTGCAAAGTTACCTGAGTTACTCACAAGTACTTTCTGCTTACCAAGTGGACCACGTTGAGGTACCCAGGCATGTAGTAAAAAAGCTCTGACCACTCAAGGTAAGTCATGGCAACCACTTGCATTACAATACATTTTCAATAGAACTTATAAGCTGGCTCAAGTACTGTAGATTTTGTGGTCATTTTCTTGGGTCCCAGACTCATTTTTCACAAAGGGTAATAATATTTGGAGTGTTCTATAATTCCAGCTTTGGGTGCCTTTTTAGTGATTACATTTTTTGTCAACTCTAAATTTTTCTAAAAACTGCAAAGGAAGTGGGAAAAAAGAACACACATGCTATGGTCACTGTGAAATAAGACATCCCAGGGACTGTGGATCCTATAATGATAGATATGACTGAAAATTTACCATAGACATACCAGCTGAATCACTCCTGTATATGCATACTTATCATAGTGAGTTCACTATGCTGAATCACATATGCGTGAGTTTGTGTGTAATTGTTATCACTGCACTTCATATAACAGATGATTCAGGGAATGAGCTTAGATAAGGACCATTATATCTAAATATATAGATAAGGAAAATGTAATATTCATAAATAATGCAAGATAATCAATCAATGAATAAAATTATTGAAAAAATTATATGTCTCAAGAAAATTGTTGAAACTATGGTTCATTAAGTCAAAGAAATAGACAACTCTCCAAAATACAAATAACACTCATCTTATCTCATAAATGGAATTTCAAAAAAATATAAAAGGTGGATGAAAATTTTTGCAGAATTGAGAGGGCAAATATTTTAGATGGAGGGAGTATAACAGGGAAACAATAGGGTGTATACAAACACATTACTTATTTTATATAATTAAAATGTACAGAATAATAAGATAAATTTTGTACTTATGATATCCTACATCCAACTCTATTATATACCACAATATCTGTTCTCTTTCAAGTTTATGTCCTTTATTCATGCATTGCTATATTGATAAATAAATTTGTATATACATATGTTACTAAATACAAGGAGACCAATCCATAAAAGGTTATAATTCTATATGTTTTCAGGCATATTGTCCATTGCTTACTGGACAATCAGTTAATGTGTTTCTCTCTGGAGAAGTCCACCTCTCCCATTCCCTGCTTTCCTAAATACAGATCTTTGATGTTGTTGCCTTGTAGCTTTTCCTTGTGCAGTTGTTCATGCCCATTGATATCTTCCATCTACCTCACACTGATTTGAACCCCAATTATACAAAGTTTAAAGTAATCTATGTAGTGTGTCATTCTCTGTCCTACCAGCTCATCCATGGAAGTGTTCACACTTATGATACTCTACTATTAGAAATAGAATATCAGAAAAATGTGCAGTAAAAATTGGGTAAAATGTTTAACTGTTTTGTTGCAAAGACACAAATTAAAAGACTTGAATTTTAAAACAAGCTTATATTTATTCAAGAATCACAAAAATCACAGAAAAATAATGTTATATAGAATATAATCTCATTATATAAGCAACCATATGCCAAGAAATTAAATGTGCATCAAAATCTGAACTACTTTGACATAGGTTGTTTTTGTCACACATTATCTTAACATACAGTCAAGAAACGTTATTGGTCAATTTAGTCCTACTAGAAATATTTACCTATTCATAGTAATTAATTTTCTATTAGTATGTTTACAACAATGATGCATAAATTGTGTTTACACTAAATATTTGATGATAATAAAGTTCAAATCTGGACACAATGTTTCTAAATTCATAAGAACTGTGTAGCTGTCTAAGTATTGACTAAGATTTGAAAATTAATTGAAGGATGTTTGTCTGTGAAGTAAGTTGGGTAATGCATGAAGATCTGGACAATGAATTAATGTGAGGTACACTAACAAGTTTCATGAAATGTACCCATTACATGCATTTTGTGATGCTTTCTAAGACTTGAATTTGTTTTAAAGTCCTTGCCACATTCTTTACATTTGTAAGGTTTTTCACCAGTATGGAATTTGTGATGATTGTGAAGAGATGAGAGCTGGGTAAAGGACTTGCCACATTCTTGACATTTGTATGGTTTCTCACCAGTATGAATTCGTTGATGGTTATGAAGAACTGAGGCCCTGGCAAAAGACATGCCACATTCTTGACACATGTAAGGTTTTTCACCAGTATGAGTTCTGTGGTGAATATGAAGATTTGAGAGCTGGATAAAGGACTTGCCACATTCTTGACATCTGTAAGGTTTCTCACCAGTATGAGTTCTGTGATGTTTCTGAAGATCTGAGGCACTGGTAAAGGACTTGCCACATTCGTTACATCTGTAAGGTTTCTCACCAGTATGAATTCTGTGATGAATATGAAGATTTGAGACCCAAGTAAAGGACTTGCCACATTCTTGACATCTATAAGGTTTCTCACCAGTATGGGTTCTGTGATGTTTCTGAAGATCTGAGGCCCTGGTAAAGGACTTGCCACATTCTTGACATCTGTAAGGTTTCTCACCAGTATGAATTCTTTGATGATAGAGAAGAGTCGAGGCCCAGGTAAAGGACTTTCCACATTCTTGACACATGTAAGGTTTTTCACCAGTATGAACTCTGTTATGAATATGAAGATTTGAGACCCGGGTAAAGGACTTGCCACATTCTTGACATCTGTAAGGTTTCTCACCAGTATGATTTCTTTGATGAGATAGAAGAGTTGAGATCTGGGTAAAGGACTTTCCACATTCTTGACACATGTAAGGTTTTTCACCAGTATGAACTCTGTTATGAATATGAAGATTTGAGATCCGGGTAAAGGACTTGCTACATTCTTGACATCTGTAAGGTTTCTCACCAGTATGGGTTCTGTGATGTTTCTGAAGATTTGAGACCCAGGTAAAGGACTTGCCACATTCTTGACATCTATAAGGTTTCTCACCAGTGTGGGTTCTGTGATGTTTCTGAAGATCTGAGGCCGAGGTAAAGGACTTGCCACATTCTTTACATCTGTAAGGTTTCTCACCAGTATGAATTCTTTGATGAGATACAAGAGTTGAGTTCTGGGTAAAGGACTTTCCACATTCTTGACACCTGTAAGGTTTCTCACCAGTATGAATTCTGTTATGAATATGAAGATTTGAGACCCGGGTAAAGGACTTGCCACATATTTGACACTTGTAAGGTTTCTCACCAGAATGGGTTCTCTGGTGAGATTGAAAGTTTGTGAGACAGATAAATGACTTGCCACAATCTTTACATTTGTATGCCTTCTCTTTGGAATTAATTCTCTTATGCATAGTGGGGCATGCATATCTGTTGAAGCACTTTCCACATTCTATATAATTGTTTTGTCTCTCTTCATTTTGATTGTTGATATAATGCCTCCCTTGTTTCTGGTCATGCTGAAACAAAAAGAAGTTGTGTTACAATCAAAATCATCCTTACACTTATCATGTATGTATTGGCTCTTAGAAAAAACAGACTTCTTCTATGAACTTATATAATGAGGAAAGACATATGGTGATTTCCTTTTTGGAAATTTGTCACTTTAAGAAGAGGATTCTAGAAACTATTCATTAGATTTCCTAGGAAAGGCTTTAATAAGATCAGTAAATGTGTAACGTTTCTCATGACTGAAAATTCTTTGATTTTTTTTCAGTCTCACTTGATTGAGAAAAACTTCTCATGTTTATCTCAAGAATATCTTGTAACAAAATGTAATTTTGTTGAGAAAATTCTGGAGAATGTTTAATAGAATACACGTCATTCAATTTTCAGATTTTTCAATATTCTTTGTAGAAAAAAAGTGTTTTAAAATTTATTTGTATTTTTTTACTGAAGAAACTACTTCTGAAATTGTAAGCGATCTAATGTGAAATCTTTCCAGATCAGGTAGAAATTATTGACCTTTATTTCTAGTACAACCCAGGATGGCTGATGAATAGAGATTATTTCAATCACAACATAAACCATTCTCTTTTCTTTCTTCACCAAATATTTAAATCATCCCTAAATGGAAGGTTTTAAAGTCACTACTTACAGCTATTCCTGACACGAACTTGTGGATACAATCTTGTCTATTCTTTTGTGTTTGATGAGAATATAAAACTGGAAGAAAGAAAAATATATAATTATCTGAATTAGTATACTTAGGTGAATGTTTTTCAGATATATAAGTGACACAATTATATATATATATATATATATATATATATATACACACAAGATGGGGTATTATATAAAATAAACTTCAATTCATTTATTCTAATGAAATAAACTTCTTAATGTAAATGGATAGGATATCTTTAATAACATACATTAAATACATTATAAAAAATGAAAGGATCGAGTTTATGTTATCTTAGAGGTTCCAATCACAATTTTAGAATAATAAATGAGATTATGGCAGTTTGAATGAAATGACCCCATAGAATCAGATATCTGAATACATAGTCTAATGTTGGTGAATATTTATGGGTAAGATAAAGAGGTATCAACTTACTGGATCACCTATGCCCTTGGACAGTGGTTTTGAGAATTTTGTAGCCTTCTAATAACAACAGTGAGCTATCTACTTTCTGTTGTGTTTCTAGATGAAACCTCTCACTGCTGCTCTAGCCCCTTGCCAACTGCTACCTCCGATTCATTGTCATGAATCTTTCTTCTATATATTGCCTTTATCTTGGAGTTTTATCACAGCAATAGATAATAAGTAACTAATACAACGACTATAACCCAAATGCAATAAAAGTACACTCATAAAATTGCCTTATCTTAATGGATTTAACTCATCTCCACAATCACTGGAAATTAAAAAAATTGAGTAATATTAAGAAATTAGAACAGGGTAGTATATATCTAAATTAAGGGAGCCATTTTAGGGTTGGCAAGTGACTTGACTCTAGAGGCGTTTCCGGTTATCCATGGAGATATCCTTAGCTAGTTTCTTGGGCAGCTGAGGAGAGGAAGCCTGAAATGTCCCGATCCTATAGCCATACTGATAAATATCTTGCATATCACCATAGACCCTTCATCCGGAGATTGATGGAGATAGAGACAGAGACCCACATTGGTGCACCAGACTGAGTTTCCAAGGTCCAAATGAGGAACACTAGGAGGGAGAACATGAGCAAGGAATTCAGGACCTCAAGGGGTGCACCAACCCACTGAGACGGAGGGGCTGATCTAATGGGAGCTAACCATGACCAGCTGAACTGGGACTGATGGAGCATGTGATCAAACCGGACTCTCTGAACATGGCGGACAAGGAGGGCTGACTGAGAAGCCAAAGACAATGGCACTGGGTTTTGATCCTACTTCATGTATTGACTTTATGGAGGCCTAGTCTGTTTGGATGCACACCTTCCTAGACCTGGATGGAGAGGGGAGGACCTTGGACTTTCCAAGGGCAGGGAACCCTGACTGCTCTTTGGACTGGAGAGGAAGGGGGAAGGATGGTGGGCAGAGGGGGAGGGAAATGTGATGTGGGGAGGAAGTGGAAATTTTTAATAAAAAATTAAATTTGACAACACATACACAAAAAAGAAATTAGACAGAATATTAATTAATAAGGAAATAACAAATGATGAACAGGAAACTGTTACTACCAACTGGTCTACAGACAATCATGTGTACTTCAAGGAAGAGATCCATAAAATATCAGACATCAAGGAAATTCACTAGGACTGATCTTTTTTTTATCAGAGATACATTTTTTTCTTATATAGAAAATAGATGCTTACATAAAATATATTCTGACTATAACTTTTCATCTTTCAAATGCCCTGAGATCATCCCCATTTTTACGTATGTCTGAATTTACCCAATTTCAGTTACTTCTTTGAAAACAAATAGGACCTAAAGAATAACAATAAAATAATATAACCAGAATAAAAGAAATCAGATAGTATCAGAGAAGAATGGAAAATAAAGAAAAAGCACAGTAAGTATTTCCTTACTTACATCCTTCCCCCTTCCTCTCTAGTCACACATTTGTACCCCCAAAATTGCATAAAACAAAGCAAAACAAAACTCTTGAAGGTGTAATGTACATAAAGATACTGTAAGGTCATAAATAAAAATAAATACATGAGCTCCCAAGGTCCAAATGAGGAGAAGAAGGAGGGAGAACATGAGCAAGGAAGTCAGGACCTCAAGGGGTGCACCCACCCACTGAGACAGTGGGGCTGATCTATTGGGAGCTCACCAAAGCGAGTTGGACTGGGACAGAAAAGGCATGGGATGAAACCGGACTCTCTGAACATGGCGGATAATGAGGGCTAATGAGAAGCCAAAGACAATGGCACTGAGTTTTGATCCTACTGCATGAACTGGCTTTGTGGGAACCTAGCCTCTTTGGATGTTAACCTTCCTAGACCTGGATGGAGGGGGGAGGACCTTGGACTTCACACAGGTCAGGGAACACTGACTGCTCTTTGGATGGAGAGGGAGGGGGAAGGAATGGGGGGAGGGTGAGAGAAGTGTGGGAAAGAGGGAGGAGTGGGAAGAGGGGGAGGGAAATGGGAGGCGGGGAGGAGGCTGAAAGTTTTTCAATTAAAAAATATACATTCCAAAACTTAACATTATGGGGGGAAAAGAATGCACAAAAATTCCATTGAGTTGTGTGGTGATAGCCTTCAAGTGCTGGTTATGGGGAATTCCTGTAAGTGTTAGATAATTTTACTTATAAAGTAATTTGGAATAATCATTCAATGTGAATTTTTACATAATTTTAGGTAGAAATATTTGTGCATCTCTTACAGGGATAGGGAGCCTTTTGTTCCCTAGATTGCACCCGAAATAACCACATAGAAACACTGCTTGGCCATTAGCTCTAGCCTCCTATTGGCTAACTCTCACATTTTGATTTAACCAATTATTATAAATGTGTGTTTACCACAAGGCCATGGCTTACTGGGAAAGATTTAGCATATCTGACCTGGTGTCTCCATGGTGGTTCTCTCACGCTGACTCTGATTTTCTCCTCCCAGAATTTAACTTCGCCTACCTACGTTCTGCCCTATCCGGCCAAGCAGTTTTTTTTTATTGATTGACCAATGAAAACATAATGGTTCTCCTACACCATGCATCCCACTTCAGGGCAGAATTTCTCCATGCCCTAGGTTTCCCACGTGTGCCAATGCTTCATTATGATTACCTTGTTCATTGCCTTCTGCCTCTCGTATGTTCATATTCCACGGCTCATTGCTTTGCTCAAGAAAGCTGATCAGGTCTGGTTTTGACACTGAAAGACCTGCATATTGGAAGAGACCTATCACCATAACTTGGGATAACAATAAAACACATAGCCGGGCGGTGGTAGCGCACGCCTTTAATCCCAGCACTCAGGAGGCAGAGGCAGGCGGATCTCTGTGAGTTCGAGACCAGCCTGGTCTACAGAGCTAGTTCCAGGACAGGCTCCAAAGCCACAGAGAAACCCTGTCTCGAAAAACCAAAAAAAAAAACAATAAAACACATAGATTTCTAATAAACCACCATGCTGATTATATAAGATGGCCTATAATTTAAAATTCCAAATAAGATTTTCTTAGTGTTATCTCCAAATATTTTAACACAGTCAAAAGCATTTTTGTTAATATTGTATACCTTGAGTTTCCTTGTAAATTACTACTGGATCAAATGCAAACACATTATGAATCATTAAGATGCAAATCAATATATAATCTATGATGTGTCTGAAAACTAAAATGTATTATGAAGGTTTGAATGATAATTATCATCTCCAGGAGTCAGGAATATATTGACAAGATAAAGTTACACAAAACATTTTGATTTACATAATAACTCCAAGATTTTTGTTAAATTGGCAAATAAAAGTGAGGCAGACAATTCAGACATAGATGTAAAACATCCTGGTAGGATACAAATATGATAAAGAAGGAATCAGGAAAGAAAAATGTCTCACCCACAGAGACCAGGTTACTGTAGTTCTCCAACATGACTTCCCTGTACAAAGCCCTTTGTGCAAAGTCAAGGCAGTCCCACTCATCTGGAGAGAAATCAATAGCCACATCCTGGAATGTCAAGACTCCCTGTCATGAAAGGAAAGAGTTTATCAAGTGCCCACATAAAAATTTCTAAGGATACAAGAGTTCATCCCAAAATTTGATGTGTTCTTGCTTATCAATATTCTAAAAGACATACTCCAAATACAGTCTATACTAAAAATCTGTGTGCTGGAAGTATTAAACCAAGTAGGACAAGTTAAGCTTCAGACCTATGGGCCTAAATGGGGTATGTGAATGGGAGCCAGATTATCTTCATGTGAAGTTCCAGACTTCACCTGTGCCCTTAATTATCTATCCTCATGGCAAA